GAAGTCAAATGATTTGCCCAAAGTCATTCAGGTAGTAAGTGCAGGCACTGCGGGGGAAATGCAAGAAGTCTAAATTGTACCTGTGTGTTCTTAATGACTGTACTTCCTGGGGCCCGAGGCCTCTCTCTCTCCCTGCATTCCTCAAGTAAACATAAAACACACACTGAATTCACCTTCTATGCAGGACAGAGGGAAATTTATTCAGAAAATGGAATCCATCTGATCTTCACAGATGTATTAAGGAAATCTAGAGCTTTAGTCATCAGCCTTGCTTTGAACAAAAAGTATATGATTAAAAAAATAAACTATTACTTCCAACATCATGCATCCTTTCACTTGTACAAAGCCCAAGTGCAAGCCAGAAGAATAGAGGTGAAAATGAGATCTGCCGTTAAGTAAGGACAGTGCTCTATTTTTGCTGATGAAGTAGTAATAGACTGACGATGTTGGTGGTTCAGGCTTCAAAATAAAATTTCTGGTTCCAGATAGTGGCTGTGGTCTCCAAGGGCATATCTTATCTGCTATCTGTCAGTAGCACAACGGAAATTGTGTACCATTGAGAACAGATGTAGCCTTGCAGTAACAGAAATGGAAAAAGATACCTCTGGGAATCCTAACTGCATTACTGTCAAATGGAGCCAGGAAGTACCAATGTTATAGTCAGGACCATCCTCTTGGCCAAATATTCAGCACTATTTTCAGTGTTGGCATTAAAAATCTCTTGCAGAACTAGGGAAGAACGACAGGAGGAATATCCTGTAGGAAAAGCTTTCTTTCTGATTACAGCTGGCTCTGAAGCTTTGGCTTTAGATATTGAGAGCTTCTAGATAGCTCTAGAGACTTGATTTTGCAGCAAGTCCCAGGGCACAAGCTTACTGCCCAGAGAGCATCTTAAATGCTGATAACAATCACATAATGGATGATATCATCACTGAAAGTTTACTATTTACTAAGCTACAGTAATGCTGGACATCTTCAGACAGGATTCTAATACAGTGAAATTATGTTCTGTCGGGAAAATGACGCTCAGTGACTGAATGAAGAAAATCTAGTCCAAAAGTGAAAGATTGTGCTTATGGTGACATTTCTCTCAAAATAATGTGTGCCTTTATTCTCTAAGTTCTGATAATGAAAAATTTCAAACACAGGAAAGTCTAAAGAGTAGTACAATGAATAGCCATATTCCTACCACTTAGATTCAATAAATGTTAGCATTTTCTGTAGTTGCTTTATCAATATATTTATAATTTTTCTGAAACACTTTAAAGTAAGTGGCAGATGGCATGCTAAACATTTCACATGTTATCTTCTAAGAACAAAGTCCTTCTCCTATATATTCAGAACCCTGTTTGTGTGTGTGCATTCTGTATGTATGTAATAGGTGCATGCTGCCTTAACAGGTTAGTACCTCCTGATGGTGCCTTTTTTTTGACAGCATGGTCAATTATTTTCATATTTACAATTTGTCCCCAAGGCTAGTTAGCTGTTAAGTGTATGTAAAACAAAGGATCTGTTTTGTTAAGACCATCTCCCTTCCTTACTTATCCCACCAACCCATGAGAGCAGATCAACAAACATCTGGTTCCTTAAAAGAAAAGTTGCTCTAGACACAAACACTCATGTCCTGACTTGTTTGGTATTAGCTTACTGGTGAACAATACTGACCAGATATTTATAAATATAACTACTACTCAGTGCTGGAATTTGGGGTCCACAGTCTGGATTTAAGGGCGGGGTGTTGGGACATCTGTGAAACTATGTGTTACATTTTGTGTGCATATAAATTTTCAGGGACAGGAGGATGAGTATCCACAGCTTCTGTAAGATTCTCAGAAGTGTCTATGACCCTGAAAAGGTTAAGAGTCACTGATTTAATGCTTTCAAAACACTCACCCTTTGGAAGCTGGATGATATCATTACAAAGGGCTAAACGACAGAAAGGAGAATTCCAAGAGGACCCATCTAGTCTATGCAACTGACAGCCCGATGCCTCCAAAGTGGGTTCTGGCAGAGGCGAGCTGGAGCAGAACGCAGCACAAAGCAGGTTACACACACTGACAAGTTCTCAATTAGTTCCAGCTCTTCAGGAAAAAGATCTGAATGTCACTGCAGAGGGCCCAGTTCTATTCAGTGGGCAGTGACTGGGCAGAGCGCCAAAGGTCTGCTCCTGGGACCAGGCACCCATCTCACCTGACGGTCTTTGTTCCAAATGTCCGAGTCTGCCCAGGCGCTGGCAGCCTTCAGCATGGCTTTCAACCGTGATTGTGCTCATCTCAAAGAAATACAGCAGCGAGAAGCAGAAAAACCCAAAGCAAGTGAGAAAAGGAAAAGCGTCTCCTTTCTTACCTACCAGGCCATTTTGGCAATGAGAACAGATGCCAAATGGAATAAAACAGGGGCATAAAGAAGTGCGGGGTATTCTGCTGGGTGTTCTTACAGGGCTGTCTCAAGGCATCAGCAGAATTACGAGCATCCCCTTAGCACCACTGTTTGGCAGCTGGAAGGAAGGGAAGCTCAGACGGATGAAGCAACTGGATGGCAGTAAGGACCCTAGTTACTCAGTGAGCAGGGGCCAGGATTAGGACCCGTGTCTGTCAAATGCCATTTCCTATCACAAATATTCAAAGCGGGAGGACAGGCATGGAACACACAAGCGATAATGAGCAATAATGAAGGGAAGGCAGCTCCCGCGTGGGGTTGCTTGCTTACTGTGCTTTGTTTCGTCTCAGCTTCTGTCGAAAAATGCAGGTGAGAGACAAATCAATAGCACTTAGCTTTCAAACCATTTGCTGTCAATGCATTATCCCACTTAATATTTATAGCTCCCTGTGCATTATCAATCCCATCTTACTGCTAGGAAAAGTGAGGCTCAGTGAGGCTGAGTAAACAGCCCAAGGCTACAGATGTAGATAAAAGTTGGGGTTCACACCTAGCACTGTCTGGCCTGGAAGCAGGTTTTCTTTGCAGGCCCGAGGCTATGGGATCAGGAAGTAGTCACCATCTGGGAGGGTCCAGACTATCAGGCTGCTAGAGAGAACTTTGTTGAATGACGAGAGGTTACTTTCTCCAAATGAGCCCTTTTTATCCAATATGCACATTCTTGAGAAGTTTTGTAGGAAATCAAGTTTAAGTAAATTGAATTGATCATTATTGCCAATGGATATTCATTAGGCAGAGGATTCTAATAGTTTCTTTTCACTTGCTTCCTCTGTTGAATTGGAGATCCACAAATATTTACACATTCTGGGACATCTAAAGGAATCTCTGTTTTGTTCGTTTTTTGTAATAGAAAAATTATTTCCCAGTGAGTTAGATTTTGACATTTTTATTTCTAACATTAAGTATTAAATACAAACAGGGTATGATTCAAGGAGATAAATGGAATGACATTACAGAATAATGGAGAGTGTTTTAAAGAGCCCTGGCTTGCCAGTTAACTAGCTCTGTGGCCTCCAGCTAGCTGATGGAGGGTTCCAAGTCTCAGTTCCTACTCATACAATATGTAGATGACAGCTATTTCAGAAGGTTGTTTAATATCAAATTAAATAAGATGACATGTAAAAGTCCTTAATAACATACAGGAGATTAAAGAATTATAAAAACTTACAACTAGAAGAATTAAATACCTAAACTCAGAGATGACAGATAGCCAGGTTGAAATTCCTACTCCTGAACAAATTCTGAATCTCTCAAATGCTCTGGGTAGGAATTTCAACTTCATGGAACCACAGAGAACTGGGCAAGTCAGTCTTTGTTATCCCAGACAGATGAGAATGTAGTCTGCTTCAATTTTTCCATTTTCTCATCAAATAATCGTCATTTTGCATTTGCAAGTAGTTTTCTCAACACAAATATTCTCTCCTATAGCTCTTCCCTCCTCTCTTATAACCTAGTTAAAAAGTCACCAGGTGAAGCCACTATATTATAGGTAATTGTATGGGTTTTCCACTCTTATTAATCATGGTGGTTTGTTTGCAAAAAGGAGGCAATTTTTCTCCTCCCTTTATTCACCCAATAGTGACTTTGTAGTTTCCCCACACCAGGAGGTGGAGTTTATTTCCCTTCCCCTTGATCTGGGCTAGTCTTGTGATTTGCTTTGGCCAACAGAATGCGGTACAAGTGCCAGGATGCCAGACTAGGTCTCAAGGGACTTGCATGCATGTAGACGTTTCCTTAAAATTTCAGCCAGCCACCATGTGAACCAGTCCAGGCTAGCCTGCTACCTGTCCCCTGTCACAACTGCCTTCATCCAGCCAGACAACAGAAATTACAACTGAGCAGTGAGGTGAATACTTTGGATATGCGCATGTGTGGGGGACATACCTATGTGTCCTTCTCACCAATGATCTTGTTTAGACATGTGGGTCATACTGGCATATTGGTCTGGATAATGAATTTCCAGTGTAATGACAACAATATTTTGCAGCAGCAGATTCTCACATCTCAAATATGGAAACTGAGATAGACACCTCTCCTATAACATAAGAGCTTAACTAAGATGAGAGTCAATAGCTTTTAGGCCCTTCTGAATACATTTAGCCAGTTATTCAGAGGAAGCAAAACAACTTTTAAAACATAAAGCACAGTGATGAGGGAAGAGGTGGGGAGAGGCCAAGAGAAAGAAAATATTTCTTGTTAACTTGGAAAACCTACAAATATTTATTCTATTAATCAAACCTCAGACCATATGCACTCTTAAAAATATGTTTGTTAATAGATTTCTAAGATTGTTCAGGTTTCAGTATAATAACTTGAATTTATTTAAGGAATGAAGAAATTAAAGTTTCCTGGTTCTCTTGGTGGATAACCTGGTAAATAAGAGAAACCTCTTGTCTCTGTTGAAGAGGTCCCAAAATAAAATTATGATCATAACATATTTAAGCAGTCAAAAAGCATTATGTCTTATACAACTTTAATCTGCCTGGAACCTTTCCATGAAAGCATCATCAGTTTTATCTAAAAATGGCTCTCCTGCTGTTATTAATCTATGTGCCTCACGGAGCACTCACTGCATAAGTGAGAGCAGATCCATTTGGAAAAGAAGAAGTTGAATCTTCACCCTTTTAGATGTTAAAGTTGGGTGCCTTTCTCTCTCTACTGCTGGGCAAAATGTCTTCATACACCTTGGGTTTATTTTTATTTAGGTGGCTTCAACATTAAAAAAAATCTAACATTTGTATTTTTGACAATAAAAACAATATATGTCCTCTGGAAAATTTAGGTCTAGATATGGGGTTTGGAGGGCCAGGATGTGGGTGAGGCGAATGTCTCACTGGCGTCATGCACAAAATTTAAGGGGGTGTT